TTGTACGATAATGCGCGACCCAGGCCTCTCGCCTATCAACTATAACACTTCTTCAGGCATCTGTACAGCTTTGTTTGCAAGCAATGCTCCGGAAACCAAGCAAGGCTAAAAGTGCCTTGAACGGTCTTTTCACCTTTATAGGCAATCGTGTTCAATGTGACTGAAATCTTGGTTCAGCACTTTCTCTGTCTGGTTATGTAGGTGATTGGCCCAATAGATTGCTGTTAACTTGACCTTTCCAGGCTCTGCGGAAGGCGAAATGAGCCGAAACGTCAGCTTGTTCGTGAATAAAGAATAAAATAACACCTGGCGTTTGCTCAACAAGAACACGAAGACTAAGTTGATATATCGGTAGTCTGTTGCAAGTAATTTTATAGTCCATACATACATGCAATCACTTGCCTGTGGTGGTGAAGACCTGCTGCAGACTTCGGCTAGACTGAGCTCGGATCTCCAGGGAACCACAATGGCTAAGTCAGCAAAATTCCCAAAAAACATCACAACCGTTGAAGACGGGTCATCCATGTTTCCAACTATGTATTCTTTATCTTCTTTGCATTCATGCAATCGGTTCCATCCCATTAATGTTGTAACCGCTGCGGTCTTAAAAATCATTTTATTCCCTTTTCGCTTATTAGATTTATAGTATTACGTCGGCTTTTGTGAATCAGTTGAATGTTTCCAATTGATTTCTCTCAACCACGCCGCCTTGTTTACCCTTAGGTGCGTTTACGAATAGATATGCTGACATATTTCCCATCTCGTCTCTTGGATATAGGGAACACCCACTTACTATGACTTGGTAGCAAACTACTGAAACTGTCGAAAAGGAAATAATGCGTACGACATTGATATATCCCTCGGGGATAAATCATGCATGCTACCCCATCCATGATTAAATTCATATTTCGTCTATGGAGCCACCTGCGGAATTACTCAAGCGGATGTGGTAGGTCAATGCATATATCTCCTCAGACAATGCTGGTACCGCTTTCCTAAGCAGGAGAGATGTGAGGATTCCTTAACGTCGAGCCCGCAGCTGAAGCATTTGCATCACGAGGTTTTCTAAGTAAGGCGGAGAAGGCTATGGGCCATACTCATGTATTGCTCTTGAATAGTATAGCTATAACAACTAGCGAAGATGTTACCGGTTCTCAAGGCATGATTCAAAAGAATTGGAAGATCTTCAACATATTTTTATAAACGAGCCTCAAAACACTGTGCGCTTCGAAGTCGATGTAAATTGATCTTATATTCTTTGGCTTCCACTGTTATCTCAAATGCTCTCGTCATTACTCTTGCCATTCTATGAGTTCTGTTTATTGGTAGAAGACCTTATATGGGAATGGTTCATTAGCCTTTTTTTGTTTCTTTATTTCCATTCCTTGACTGGTCTCGTTGAGAGTCGAATGCTTCAGTATTCAATCGATTTGAAGCAAACTAAAGCAATATTATTGTTGTTTAACTCATTCCTTCATTAACTGCGTGGTGATTAGTTTAGCTATTTCCAAGATGGATGGAAGAATCGATTCGGCGAGCACTCCATGACGTCCAAAAAAGAAGAGTCAAAAATCAAGTAGCTGCTGACAGAAAATATCGATCGTGACATTCCTGCGGTTTCCAACAACACTATGTAGAGGGTCACTACGGTTCAGTTAATTCGTCATCCATAGCACCCTGATTGCTCGAAAGTCATTATAGTCTTTGTTCTGTTCTAAGACCACCAACACAATTTCGTCACTTCATCGCAAATGTTGCTCTCTTATTCGTAGTTCATCTCCTTCGTCTCTGTTAGGATTTCGTGATTGTACCAAAATGTATGTGAACTATATGTTGGTATTTTTGTTCACACCCATTCCATAAGAGTAGGATCAACTTCTAAACTCGTTTTTAGGTATCGTGAAGTCTTATACTCGTTGTAGATCGTTTCCCCACAAGCGGACACGCTACTGATACATTGGCCTTATGTAGTCGTCCCAGTTTATTACTTATCCCACGCAGGTGGTTTCAGGAAATTAGAGAAGCGCTTCAGTAATTAAAAGCATAGGTACGAGCTGAGTACCTCAGCATGCTAAGCGTCTTTGCGATAGAACACAAAAAATGCTTTGAATTATTGTCGTGAGATCTTGGGCAAGCAAAGAATGCCGTAAGCCTTATATCAGCAGAAATTGGGAAAATAGTGATAACGGATGAGTGATACGAACGAAGAGTTCCCACATTCTACTGATAATTTGCATTTCGTGATAAAATTATGGTGACAAATTGCTACTGTATTATCAACATTTCTACTGGGACAATTCTTTAGCCCACAGAAAATATTCTCTATCTATTAAGGCTAGGCTGCGTTTTCTATGTTTTTTTCTCACGTTGTTTCAAATAGTAATGGTACGCTGGCGTAGATGTATCCCTCATGCCATGTGAGCAATATGGAGTCGGTCTACTTTACTAACTGCTAAACAAGCAGAAGAAAAGTACTGAGCGTTCTGAAGCAGTCGTTTGTCATTCGATTGAAATTTGGGTTCTGGGTCCTTTTCGTTAGCATCAAGAGATTACATGGTTCAGTAGTACGACCTACCACTACTGACTTCTGTTTATCGAGAGCACATGAGCTTCTTGAGCAAGCCTTAGCTTAGTAGGAGGTCACTCTTCGGAGTTATCGAGTGTTCTACTGTTCGTTCGATAAGTGACCTTGCATTCGTTGTGCTCCTTCTCTGTACGTGTGACCGATAGCATCTTCCTAGTATCCGACGCCTTGCAGTATTCGATTTTTGGCTGTGGCAATGAATAGTGCACTATTTACTATTTACAGGCGATTTACTAACTTTTTCTTCTCTATATACTTCTTGATCACCGCTTTTTCTTCTCTTTTTTTTCTTGCACTTTTCCTTTTTTCAACTTTGCTCACCCAGACTGTCCGTAGTTAGCCATTTCTCTTCAGTTGTTCCTTACTGATTTATAATGATCTCCGTTCATTTTCTTAGGATCGCTGATCCGGAGATATTTCGCAACTGAACGAGCGCATCTCATTTCAAAGTCCTTTTCATGGATTCGCGTTTCTACGAAACCATTCTGAGAAGAAATACTTCCTGCTCAATCTATTCCTGCCGATATTTGAATTAGTTGCTGTGTAAAATAAAGAAACTATTTAAATAGGCTACGCTCTTTAAATAAGTGCACCCATAGTTATCATTTTCTGTCACGTTTGGTGAGTTTCTGTGCCTAGAACGAACGGGTTTGCAGTGTATGTAATATGATTATCTGAGTAATCGATTGCCTACCTAAAGTGCTATCGACCACTCCAAATGTGTTACTCAATCTTTTATCAACAGATATCGATTTCCGATGGCCCCGTATTCTGTGTTGGTGACCGGAGCAAATCGTGGCATTGGCCTCGGACTTGTGAAGGAATTCCTCAAGAACAAAGAAATTCAACATGTCATCGCCACCGCACGGGAACCCGATAGTGCAAAGGCAGTTCATCGACATAATTATTTAGTTATTTACTTAAGTATTCACTAGTTGTTCGATTGCCATGCATGAAAGAGTTCGGTCATCTTTCATGGAAAGGCACTCCTTTTCCGAGCTCTGCATAGTGGAAGATATTAAACGGCAATCTATTTAAAATGCAGAAAATGTTTAGCAGCGTTAAAAAATTTGAATAGGTAGGTCAGAATTGATCCTAAGGGAAGTTTGTACCAGCGCCCAGGCGAACTTTCTGGTGCAAGACTGACCCTGTTCCGCCCATATCATCATCCTTCATTTCATGTTAGTCAGTTGGTAGACTGTGTAAAGAAAAGTTTTCCAATACCATAATTCATCTTGTAACAGTTATCCATTGGCTCAATTTGTAGTTCTGAGGTCTCAATATGAAGTTTTGGCGGAGACGGGGTCATTCATAGCGTGTTCTGGTGGTTTCATGAAACAATGCGTTTGAAAACGTTTGGAAAAAGATGTGAAGCAGGGTGATGACGTGTGCTAATTTTCTCCTAGGGAATGCTTAACGTCTAATTGCTAAGTCGAGCTTATCGTCCTACAGAGAACTTGTGCTTAGTAGTTCTCAATGCAAAGTTGTGTTGATGTTTCAGGAGCATACGATGGGTAAATAGTTAAAGATGGATCTAATTTAGTGAGCAACGTCAATTTGATTGCGGAAGATTACGGACACTAGTATGGGCACCGATTTTCTAAAGAAACGAGATAGATGGTCTTTTGAATACGGCATGTTTCAGCTCGCATTGTTGAGAACAAATACTCTTACAGGAGTTGAAGAGAATCGGTGACAAGCGTCTCAGTGTTATAAAGCTGGATGTGACAAGTGACGAATCTATCAAGGACGCTTCTATTGCGGTAAAAACATATGGATACATTACCATTCTCGCCTAAAAGTGGACAGTTGTTTTAAATTATTTCTTCCTTCTACCGTCTTTAGCCCTGAAGTTCATTTTTTGCTTGAAAATGCGTAGTTTCCACAAAGCGTTTAGGTCAAGAATCTTGTTGGTGACCGTGGTCTTACAGTCTTAGTGAATAATGCTGGCATATTTGTGAAGTATTTCACGAATCAGGAGCCGAATCGTGCTGACATCATTAAGAATTTTGATACGAACGCCGCAGGTGTTGCTGTGCTCACTCAGGTGTGGGAATTTAAACGTGCTGCACTTAGAACTGCTTCAACAGTTGAGAACAGTTTGCAGATGTTTCTACCGCTTTTGCGAAAATCAGCCTCCTATATAGCTACGGACGAGTTTTTTTCCATAGATCGAGCGGCCATCATTAACATTTCCTCTGGTGCCGGCTCAATTGACACCAATACTACTGGTTCGAGCTCTTCTGGGATGTTGGCATACAGAATGAGCAAGGTAAACCAATCGCTTCTCGCAATGTTTAGATTTATTGTCTTAGAAGTGTTCAGTTGAGATTTTTATTAAGGTACTTTTAGGCAGCATTGAACTCGCTAATGAAAACAATGGCAATCGATCTGGAACCAGAGCATATCCTAATCTCCTCTTTTTGCCCAGGATGGGTGCAAACTGACATGGGTGGCTCGAATGCGGACATAACGGTCAGCAAGCATTTCAATTACACCTTTCAGAGGTTAATGCCCGGTTTCAACCTGCATTTTTAAAATGAAACACCTTAGCTCAGAAAAAACTGTTAACCGGAATTGAATGGAATCTACACGTCTTTGCTGAAGAACACAAGTTTCTTTTAAATAACGGTTGCTTGAAATTTTTGGCCTATAAAGGTGAAAAGACCGTTCAAGGCACTTTTAGCCTTGCTTGGTTTCTGGAGCATTGTTTGCAAACAAAGCTGTACAGATGCCTGAAGAAGTGTTATAGTTGATAGGCGAGAGGCCTGGGTCGCGCATTATCGTACAAAAGGCTTTCATGGCTTTTTGTTGGTCAATTTGGGGTGCAGCCGCTGGAGTTTTCATTGCCTTTCGTCGATTTGATGGGCGTAATCCTTTGCAGTAGTTGTTTCACTAGAATTCAAGAAGATGCGTTATGCTAAACCAGATGTAGACAACAGAACAGTCAGCTTGATTTTCCTTTATTAGAATTTCGTTTTTGGGAAGCACTGCTGAGCTTCTTCACCGCCCAACTACCCAGCAAGTCGTCTCCACTTGCCAGAAAAAGTCTGTTTTTCGCCGTGCATCATAATGCCATCGAAAACAGATCGTTCTGGCTGCTCAAAAGAAGCGCACATTTGATCGTGCTTTTTCGACTCTCCGATTATCTGTAAAATTTCCGAAACAGTTGAAATGCTTACTGGTTGTATGTGTATTTCCTTCCACCAAGGCTCACAAATCATCGTTATCAACAGCAGAAGTGCACCTGCGACTTCTCAAACCTACAAGGTCGAATTTTCCACGAGAAATTTTTCAAACGAATTTTGCTCCGAGCGTTGATGAACAGCTCCGTCGTCCCGTACCCTCTTGATGTTAGAGGCTGCTTGATCTGTGTATGTTCGAGTTTGAATGCCTAAGAGTAGATGTTTAAATTTCTCCTTTGACGTTTGAAATTACAACCTTAAAATTCGTCAAAAACAAATAATAAATATGTGGAAGTGCATAAAATAAGGTTTGCAGTGATGTAGTACTGCGCTGAGAAGAAAAATCTTTGCTAAAATGTTTGCAAGAAGAGTAGAGTTGGAAGTAGCAAACTAACTACGGAGCGACCTATTACATTTGTTATAACTGACGTTTTCATGAAGGTTTGCGGTTCATTTTATCGTTTTAGATCGACGAATCTGTGGAAGCGCTAGTGGCCTCATTTGCTAAGTTGAACAAGGAGCACCATGGCGGTTATTTCAGAAGAAATTTGGAACCGATACCTTACTAGAACACTTGTTGCTTTGGGTTGTTTGATAAATATACCTCATTTTTTCAAGGTCTAAATTTGGCAAGAGTGATATAAGGGTGCGAACATTGAAGAGATATGCTTGCCGTCTCGGCTGGTCCTTTGAATGAAATAAAAAAGGTCTAGGAAAATGGACGAAAATATGTGAAAAGTGTTCTTGGTTCAAAAAACAAAGCTGCAGCTTTTATTGAGTGGCTTTCCAGAATCTGGCAAATTTCGTACTAAGTTGTGTAGCCATCAATTTCATCTTTTGCACGGAATTACTTGACTTCACGGAGTTTCTTTCTATTCTACTTTTTATTACGTTCCTATTAGAAACCATAGATGTTGGAAGTTTTCGACGAATTTTTTCTTACTAGTTCAAAATGCGGGCTACGGTATGTACAGCAAGTTAGTGGCGAATATCGTAAAGGGACTGTTCTGAAGTGCATAGCTCGTCCCAGATTACCCAAGTAGTACAGAAGCGACGCGAACCAGACTGGCAAACTGGAATATCTCAACATGTTGAGCATCTTCACGATAGAAAGCGGTGCTCTGAGTGATTAGGGTGCGCTCAAGAGCACACGAAAAAGACGTTTTGTAACCACTAGTGAAGAAGAACGCTAAAAAAGCAAACAGTTCTAAAACTTTTAATGATACTGAAATATTTGCAAAACTCCGGACCGCAGGTGTATGCGGTGGGGAACGAACGCGCTATTGTCGTTTCCGGAGAGTAACGCGTTCACCACCACACCATGCGGGTACTTCTAAAACTGGCTTTCAGAATAAAGAATTTCTACAATGAACAAAGCAAGTGCTGCTTTCTAGGAAAGCCGAGCATTAATTAACAGCTTTTTGCTCTATTCTTGATTCTACAATCTCCACAATGGAATAATATTTTCCATTGCCTACTTAAAATATTGTTGCACATCGCCACCGAAGCGCGGGGTTTCACCGAGTGATTTAGCAGTTCGATATGATTTTCAGCTCTTCTAAGTTGCAGTTCTTGAAATAGGAATCTCTACTTAAACACAGGACCTCCTGTTATCAAACAACATAAATAACCTTAACCTAGAAACTGATTTGCCGAGACTATATGACTCCTTAAGCTCGTCGACAATCAACTGACTGTTCTCTGCTTTACCTCCTTCGAGATAATTTCTGCAAGTCATTCCCACGACAGGGCTCGACAGCCTACTCAAGGACATTCTTCCGAATAAGGTCGTAGTCTTATAACAAAAAACTCATGCGAAAAGTGTCGTTTTATTCGTTTCTTTTAAGTAGCCAGTACTCATTCAGCAGCTGTGAATAATTATGGCCTTCAAGAGGTTATTACTACTACAGTACTACTCAACACATTATGTCTACACTAGCACAAAATAAGGTTCCGTTGCTGTAGTGACTCTTCTGCAGTTGACCAGACAGCAACCACGCAAAGCCGGTAATCACAGAAAGCTGGTGAATATCTGGTGTAGTCGCTGTGGCTTCGGCTTGAACTTTCGCATATATGCACCATTGCCCCAGTCAGACTCCACTCAAATAACGATTTCAGCGCCCTTTTAAAAGAATTTACTGGAAATACCTTACTGGCAGTTACAAGGAGACCCGGGTCGCAGATGCTCCGAATTCACAGCTGTATTCGGAGCAACCAAGTGCGGTTGTGCTTGCAGGAATCAATAGGCGGCAATTGATATTTGATCAATGCCCGGTGGATAAAAAGTCGGTTGTGGGACTATTTGTTCCCCCTAATCAAATCCAAAGGTATTTGTGAAAAAAGTATTTCTGCATGTATGTTCTTACGAAATGCGTCTTTTTACCGACGTTAGGATCGTTCGTGCGTTGTTCAGGAAGGATGATGATGGAGCTCTGACGGCAAGGCTCTGAGGAAGACAAAGTCTCCGATTCCGCTATCCGCTAAGGTCTTTAGATTTCCGTGCTGGTTCGACTGCTGCTTGAGGATTTTCCTTTCGTGAATACTGATCAAATCGATTTCTCCTCGAGAAAGATGGAATGAATAGAAACGTACGAAACTATGAAAATTCATGAAGAAGATGATGTAGATGAAAACGAAATCGGAGACGTCGAAACGTTCGCCGAATAAATATCTCTAACAACATCTTATCTCTGATAATCAGCTGTTCTAAACTTCCTCATTGGAAGTCACGAAAAAAAAAGCGGCTCTGAAGAAGGCGATACTGCCGAAACGTCAGCTAGCGTTGTATTGTATTGTGTTTTTATGGAAGTAAATGTATGCTGTTTAAAAACCTCGCGATTGCTGAACAAGAAAACGACACATCTCTAACAACCTCGTATAAGCTCAACAACATAAACACATGCGATCTATGAACATGGAAAACAGCATGAAGGAATAACTAGATAGAAGAAGGAGAGCAGCTTATGCTGCATCCGGACCTCTCAAAGAAGCCACACCAAGGAAAAGGAAAAAAAGAAACGAATCACATATGTGCTGCTCTCCGCACAACTCGTGATGACTTCCCGTCCAAGAATCCATGTAAGTAGCGAAGAATAATGAAGTAACGCGAACTCCCTAACGCTCTTCAGGCTCGTCGCCAATCAGCTAACTGTCGTCTGCTTCACCTTGTTTGAGATATTTTCTGAAAAGTCGTTCCCAAGACAAAACTCGGTTAGCTACTCAAGGACACTCTTGGCCAATGTTTCATAGCAGTGAGCTGTTACGAAAGATGCGCTGCTCTACATGTTTTCGATGTCATCAGTGCCAACTGAGCAGCTTTGAATAATGATGGTCTTCAAAGCGTTATTATCGCACTACAACACAACTACTCAACTTTTATTCTCTACATTTTCACAAAGGAATGTTCCGATGCTAAATTGGATCTTCTGTAGTTGGCCTGGCAGCATTCACGCAAAGTCCGAAGTCACAAAAAGCTGGCGAATAGCTAGTGCACTCGTTGTCGTTTTTGCAAGGACTTCCAGATGTATAAATCAGTGTTCCTGCTCGTATTCCACTGAAACAACCTCTTTAGCACCTCTTAAGAAACATGTTAAAAAATAGCGTCACTAACGATTGCGAGAAGACGCATGCTGCCGATGCACTGAACTCACACCTGTTTTCGGAGCAACCAATCGCAGTTGTGGTTGCACGAAACATCTAAAAGTCATTTAAGACGTTGTTATCCTTCTTAAATTTACACCAAATAAGGTATTACATTGGCAACATTCCGCGATGTTGGATTTCCGTCGAAAAGATTGGAAGTTGACCAATTCACATCTTCTATGGATGTCCACTCCAGCACTGCTGATCGAATAGAATTTCTAAGCGTGAGTGATGACGAGTTTCGTCCGTAGCTGAATTCGAGAGAAATGTAGGAAGTGAAAACTTTGGGAAGTAAACAAGACAATTTTAGAGAACTTCAAATGAACTATTTGTATATTGGGCTCACAAACGATAATTTACGCCGTTGGTCGGAATTTCTGACGGTGGATTTTCAGGACAATCGGCGATAGCTTGCTCTGCCAACGACTCCAGACCGCAATCCCATCTCTGCAATGTTCGGTATTTCTAATGCCGCGTCATCTGCTCATGTTGAATACGTGTTGGAGAGTTAAAGAGATCGGTCTCGCCTATAACTGTCACTTAGTAGCTTTAAGAAAAAAAGATTACCAGTTTGTTCATGTCACCAGCAGAAGGCAAATTTTGCGCTTCAAAGTCTCCGAGCGCAACGAGTGAGCGCATAGTGTTGATGAAATTGAGGAGATCCGTTCTGTCTCGATCATTTAAACTCATTGCTTTGCAACCAAAAGCTTAAAAAAGAAGAACTGGTCATACTATCGCCATTCATGGGCATCAATAACTTCTTTTAGTGTAAACAGCAACAATGGAGATCACTCAGAAACACATACGCTTTTCAAATCCACCACTGCACAAGCCAAACTGCGACACCTGGAAACTCCATTATATTCCATGAAAAGCAGAATTTTGTTGGCCAGTAAGCAAATGTCTACTTACCGAACTGCAAAAGACCAATAGTGCTACGTGAAATCTTGCGAACAGCATAGTGTTTTCTAAAGCAGTCAAAGTTGGCGTCATTGTAGATTTCCCGATGATTCAAATTCAATTTCAAACTGTTCATCCAAAGTGGAAACGCGTCAATTGTCACTAAGCGTGGTTTTGAAGAAGTCGAAACAATTTTCGGTGCAGTGCTCAACTATGGTTCCCACTTCAAAGCAAGGAATTTCGTTCTGATTACTAAATTGTCCTTGAGATCTTAGGACATAAAAAGATGTAGGATTTTATAGAACATCTTAAAAAGTTTCGACAGCGCCAGTTTCGGTTGTATCAAAAGTAACTAATGAGGTAAAATATGATTTCTTCGTGATTTTGAATTTGCACCGTCAGAAGAGAAATTTCTACTATTCAGTTCCAACATCACGGAGATGTGGATTGCTAGCTGATGAATGCTTCAAAAACTAGGTCAATGTTAACCTAAATAGACCGTGGCGAGTGATGATGGTAGACTCGGTCATTGGAGTGCGTTAGCGTCCTTGCGTCGTTTCCTTATATACTACCCGTTGATTTGTTCCGTAACCTATAGTCTGGCTCATGCAAATGCTCGATAGACGCATACTTCGCCCCAGATGGTCTTTGGTAAACAGAAAAGTACATGGCGTTGTGAGAATAAGGCGTCAGAAAAGCTTCCCTTTAGTAACTTGAAAGTAGTCGTTAGATTGTGGGGATCAAGATGAGGTGCAGTGTTAGAAGCCGCGGGATCATTTAAAGAAAATTGTGTTCTACTTTCGCATTATCATAGTTTTATGACTCCTGTTCGCACAAAGAAGACATTAGTGGCATGTGCCTAAAGTGTCCGCAAAATGTTGTTGCTAGCATTGATGCTACGCAGACTCCAAAATGGGTATACGATCTCGGCATAATGTCGACAGTCAAGCTAGCGCCTTCGAAAAAATATCTTTAATGATTTGAAATGAAGAAATGATCTGCATGAAAAAGGTTTGCATTCTCTATTCGATAGAGTGAGTACTGGTTCAACTGCCACTGATTCTATTCAGATAAATGAAGGTCGGCGGTGGAAATCTGTGGGCAATCTCACCCAGCAAGCAAGTAATGAATTCCTTTCCGGTGTCCTTGTGTACTCAGCGAAAATTTTGCTCAAAAGCGGAGTTGGAGAGTGGCCAATTAAGCAACGGTATTGCCGAAATACCGAATCGCGGTGCTGGAGCTGTTTCCCTGCCCACCAGTATGAGTCAGTACGTACGTTTCTCCTTCCTCATAACCTTCCTTAATAACTTCTTTGTAAACTATCGTAAACTTGGAAGCCAGTCGAATAGCTCTCTTAAAAATCCCTAATTTGTTAGGGATTAACATTCTCTTTCCTTTAGAATTTTGAGGCTTAAGTCTGCTTGCCGAAACAAAAACGTTCCGCTGAGAAAGCACTTTTGTGGACCTGTGTGAAACCTTCTGACATTTATACGTACACTTCTTTGACAAGACATACGATTGAAAATAAAGTGGAGAACGCCACTGTGGTACTTTCCACAAAGAAGCTCAAAGGTTCAACGACGTTAAGGTAGTTAGCTAAAATTTCGATTTGAAATCACTGATATTTGCTTCCGTGAAGGATACAAGCTGCATATCACGCTATCTGTTCCATTCCAGACCACGGATCGATCAGACTTGTTGTACAAATTTAGCATTCACTCAGAAACTCTCACTAGGGCGTGAATGAATGTGTAATCGTACAATGACGGATGTCAATCCACATGAACACGACATATGCAAATCTCCCTCTTTGTTCGTGAATATCTTTTTTCT